TCTCCACATGTATAAATCCTCAATACACTTTTTTAGGGGAAATGTGCTGAAAAAGATATTCTATAAGTTTCCATTTTTATAAAGTAGAAAACATGTTTTAAAACTATTATCAAAAGGAAAATAATTTTTTTTTTTGAGATGGAGTCTTTATCTGTCATTCAGGCTGCAGTGCAGTGGCATGATCTGGGCTCACTGCAACTTCCATCTTTTGGATTCAAGCAATTCTCACGTCTCAGCCTCTTGCATGGCTGGAATTACAGGCACCTGCCACCACACCTGGCTAAGTTTTTGTATTTTTAGTGGACATGAGGTTTTGCAATGTTGGCCAGGCTGATCTTGAACTCCCTATCTCAAGTGATCCACCCACCTCAGCCTCCCAAAATGCTAAAATTACAGGCATCAGCCACTGCACTGGGTCATAATTTTAAAAAATATAATACATTAATGGCTAAGTGGTTTAAAAATATAGAAATAAGTACTGAGAGAATTTTAATGGTGTGAGCAAAGTTCAATTCTTAAATTGGATGAAGAGTTCATGGATATTTTATTTTATTATGTTTTGTTATGTAAGAATATAACTTCTTGTTTTTTTGTATGTCTCAAATGTTTTATAATAATAAAAAGCATAACATTTTGCTGACTTAAAATAGACAGTTTTAACCCCTTTTTAAAATGCATATTTGTGCTATCTGTAAAAGAATATCCTCGGCTGGGCATGGTAGCTCACACCCATAACCCCAGCACTTTGGAAGTTTGAGGTGGGTGGATCACGAGGTAAGGAGTTCAAGCCCAGCCTGACCAACATGATGAAACTCCATTTCTACTAAAAATACAAAAATTGGTCAGACGTGGTGATGTGTACCTGTAATCCCAGCTACTCAGGAGGCAGAGGCAGCAGAATTGCTTGAACCCAGGAGATGGAGGTTGCAGTGAGCCAAGATGATGCTACCGTGCTCCAGCCGGTGAGACAGAGCGAGACTCCATCTCAAAAAAAAAAAAAAAGTCATGATAGAGTGGTTGAAAGAAAACAGCAGAGGATTATCAGATTTACATATTTGATTATTTATCAACCTATCTATAGGATCTTAAAAGGTTACTTAATGTCTTTGAGCCAGTATCTTGTACTTACTTCAAGGGTACATTATGAGAATAATAAATTACATATAAACTGCCCGCCTATAGAAGGTACTCAATGAGTAGCAGTTATTATTAGCAACATGAAGTCACAATACACACTCAAACTCATATTCACTCAGTATGCACTCAAATGTATCCACCACTCAGATAACCAGGTGTTTGGGACGTTTTTGTTTTTGTTTGTCTTGATAAATACGTCCACACAGCTAAAAGCAATTTTGACTACTTTATGAAAACATGGTAGCACTGTCCAAAGAACATCAAAGTGAATCTTTATATTAAATGTTAGTATCAATCCTTTATTTATAATTGAAAAAAGTTCACCTTTTAGAGTTATTTCCATGTCTTTGACATACTTTCTAAAATGTCTGATAAAATAATAAAACCATTTTGAGATAATTATTCTTCCAATTATGATTTTCAATATACCAAACATTCCAATAATTATTTTTGTTCCTTTTCAATAGAATCTGAGAAATAGTCAATTTGAGCATCTGTAAATTTGAGGAACTTCTTTTTATGTATTTTTAAAAATATATTGTTAAAAAACTTGGAAAGGTTGAAAGTCCCTATGATTTTCACTGAATTCCACTGAGCATAACTAGGCTGTGCCAAAAAATATACCAATTTGCTGATATAGTTTGCTGCACATGGTCTATTTAAGCATTAACATGAAACCCACCCCCTGTGCCTGATTCATTCTTCTAATTCCTTCAGTTCATCAATATCTCCAGGGGAAGAAAGGAAAGGACCTATTAAAAGTTAGGTGGTTAGCCATGGTCAAGTTCAACATCAAACAACATCTCCAAGTCATAAAATTTTGTTTTTGGCATTTTCTTTTTTTGCGCATATTTCTTATATTTTAGGTCCTTATCTGCTATGAACTCAGAGACCTCCTCTAGCTAGCTTTCATCTCTCATTTCCACACTATGTCCAGGCCCCATAATATGTGAAATAAAGCTCTTATTGTTGATTTACTAGAATGGGATAGTATATAAGAGCTGAATGCAGATGCAAAAAAATGAACAAAATGCTCAATTTGTTTCATTTAACATTTGTTATTACTTACCAGTGTCCTTGAATAAGCTTCCCTATTTTCTTCCAAGTTTTGAATGATTTGAATCCATAAGCAATGAGTAATAATGCTCCTGGCCTGTAGGTATATCAGCCCTGTCATCTTGGAGTCTGGGACAAGCAGGTGCTGGGTAGTTTTTCTGTTGAATCGGGGTCCCTAAACACGCCTTTCTACCTCAGTTATGCATGTTCTTTACTATGGCTCCAAATCATTTGCAAATTCTACTTTTCCTGCATGGCATCTCTGTAGGCCTACCCCAATTTTTCTTTTCTTTTTTTTTTTTTTGAGACAGAGTCTTGCTCTGTTGCCCAGGCTGGAGTACAGTGTCATGATTTTGGCTCACTGCAACCTCTACCTCCTGGGTTCAAGCAATTCTCTGCCTCAGCCTCTGAGTAGCTGGGATTACAGGTACCTGCCACCATGCCTGGTTATTTTTTGTATTTTTATAGAAATGGGGTCTTACCATGTTGGCCAGACTGGTCTTGAACTCCTCATGATCCAACTGCCTCAGCCTCCCAAAGTGCTGGGATTACAGGCATGAATCACTGTGCCTGGCCAGGCTACTCAAACTATTAGCAACCTGGGCTTCAGTCTCTTGACCAGTCAGCATAGCACCAGTGCCTCTGTTATGATTCTACCTGTCTTGGACTTTTACTTCGGACTTGGCAATTAGAAAGACAACCGAGCTGCACAATCTTGAATGTTCCTCAAAGCAAGTTGAAATTTCAGAATATCTATTGTTTGGTATGCCATAGTGTTTATAATTGAGAATCATATCCCCTGTCATTTGCAAATAGCTCAGAATGCCAGTGCCATGGATGACCTTCAATATTACCAATTCCAACTAGATGATTATGCAGAACAAGAAACCAAGCCCCAGAAAAGTTACAGATTTGCCACAAATGACACACTGTTTAAGTGGCGGAACCTGGACTAAGGTTTCTTGATTCCTAGGCAGGCTCCTCTTCTTCTTTTTTTTTTTTGTTTTTTTTAAATTTTTTGATTGTTTTTATTTTTTAAACCATGCCTGCTGATTCCTTAACCAGAGGGAGAAGAATTTGTACAAATCCTTGTTCTTAATATAAATACCTAATGTTACTACAGCTGGTGGTCAGCATGTCCATACTATGTGTTGTTGACACATTTTTTGTAACTGGCTATTTTAAATGGATAATTTCTAAACATGGAATTGTTTTTATTCAACTGTCTTCATGCATATATTTGGCAATTCTGCACACAGTAAAGCTAATAATGATGCTTCTGATGACTGAAACGTGGGCATTCTACTTGAGAAGGCTTCTGAATTATTGCTTAAAGTTATACAAACTTAATTAGAAACTGTGAATGCTAACATAATAATTCTCTTTGTTATCAAAGAGCTATGCCAGTATAATCTTTAAAATTATAATATTGTGGTCTGGTTGATTTCTGCTATTTGGATTCTTTCTAAAATAAGATGTTCAAATTTTCTTTTAAAGTGTCAATTTATTACAGTACTACAAGTGACAGCCCTCAAACACGAAGAATTTTTCTTCAAGTTCTAATGGGAGACAGCCCAAACCTCTCCACAGACTGATTCCTTTCCACTTTTTATTTGCTCATTTTCAAAGGTAAAGACTGAATAGTAAGCACCACATTAATGATTCCATATATCCCCTGAGAGGAACAATGTACTCAAATTACTTATGTCAAATATATATAGGCACATCTACTTTTTAAATAGAGCTCACCCTATCAAAATTATATTTCCATAGGCTCTGATGCTTTAAAGAGTTAGAGCAAAGACTTCTTGGACAAATGCTGCATTGTGAAGTGCATATTCCTACTCTACAGTTTTAATCACTACTGAAAAAGTCCCATGTAACTGAATTAAAATTCATTAGACATAAAGAAAAGTAATCCTAATTAGATTTTATCTTGGATGAACAAAACTCACAGTGCATATGTTGTTGGTCATAATATATTTCCCTAAGCCCCACAATTGCTAAAAATACCCAATCAATCACCACCCAGATTGCATCATGAAGTGTGTGAACTAGTGCATTAAAAGGCTGTGTTAGCACCAACAAAGTTTATTGGGGTAACTGCATTCAAAACGCACATGGCATACCTTTAAATAGCACTGTTAAAATACCAAATAAAATGTCAACGTCTGTCAGGTCTCTGGCTTTTATAAATTGTTTAGACTGGGAAATGCTGGGCATTGGACATTGTTCTTTTCACATGGTGTAGAAAAGAAGAGACCATAAAAAGAAAAGAACAATAAAGCATAGCTCATTTTTTAAGTTCTTTCATGGAAAAACACACTCTGGATCATTACCCTCCTAATCAACAATTTCCTTCTTCCTCCCAATCCTTCCCGTCTGGTATTTACCTTTCTCTGGCTCCCTCTCTCTGGGTGGTATTCTGAGCTTATACACACGACTCAGTAATCATATTTTTAAAATCGCTTCAAAAGAGAATCCCAGGATGGCATGACAGATATGTATATGCTAAGGGTATTTTTAACCTCAACCATAGCTTTACTTCTGATCTCTATGCTCTTAAATGTACACGAGGGGCCCCTGAAAGCAGAGTGTCCTCAGGGAGAAGAAGGCCCTGAGAGCAGATTGAGCTACTCCCTGCCTACAGACGAGTTATTATCACACCTTAGTGGCCATCTCTGCCCTTTTCCTTCTGCCCCCTTCCTTTTATTATCACACCACACTCCCTGCAATTCCCATATAACAACATCTCTGTTTCAGCTTCTTCTCTGGATTTCCCACACTTACTGCAACCCAGACCTCACCTTCAGCTCTCCTGAGGCCACTTTGGAAGCCAGCTCGATGACACAGCCAACAGCCATGCGTGCAGCACCGGACGAGTGCAGTTCATTCCAAATGGTGTCACTGTCCACCTGAGCAAACAGTCAGCAGAGTCCGAAGACAGAAGAAGAAAGCAAAAGAGAACGAAGAGATGAAAGGGGGGAAGAGGGGAAGAGGTCGCAGGGGAAGAGGGACAGAGAGAGAAAGCAAATCTGTGAGCAAGGGCTGGCAGGGTAACAGCCTATGTACAATAACATTAGTCTTCCGTCTTGGCCAGCTGAAAAGGCCTTCTGGACATGGCTTTGCTTATACTTTTTCTCTACACTGACTTCTCCAATGGAAACACATTCCTGCCATGCCTCACTGCCATTCTCTGTTTAGATTTCTCATTACAAACAGCATTACATAGGCCAGATCTGGCTTAGTTACAAGCCTGCTAGAAACCAGGCCCCAGTAGTAGATAGAGTAAAAACTAAGAGCACTTAGTTATACATAAAAGTAGGATTTGGAAGTGCTAAAGGGGGGAAATTCAAATACTTTTCTGACTGCAGGTTTACAGGGAGCCAAAGGCAATTATTAGGCAAGTAGCAGTAGCAGTCAGAGAGTAGAAAGTAGCAAGCAAGTCAGTCAGGTTCTCCAACTAAACAGGAATATGTGGTCCTCACACTTAAATGATTAACAACAGCAAATTACAAGAAGAAATTAGATTTTCAAAGAATAAGCTTAAGATTTCTGACTTTCAGTACAATTTGTCAGTTTGTTTCAGTTCAAAATGGTATTGGTAAAAATGGATAGTCTAGCAAAATACATGGTTGCTTCTCTACTAGAGAACATTATTATTAAAACAAAACATGTACCAATATTCTGGATTTCTCTTTAAAAATGCTGTTTACTCTTTTCCATGCATGCAATGAAAACACATAATAATGCACACATGAAAAGAGGAACAATAGTGGTTTATAATTATCATATGTTTTATTTTTAATATACAAAATACTTCATAACATTAAAAAACAGTATCAGATGGTAGATGTCTCTAATTTTAGGACACATAAATTACTTAAAGCACCAGGAAACAGAATACAAAGTTTGTGACTAAATATCAAGACTTCCCATATGGATCAAAGGGGAGAAATTCTGCATAGAACAAAACTTTGATTTTTTTAAAGAAAATTAAATTCAAGAGGCCTAATTACATGGAACAAATATAGTAAATAACAACACACATTCACAGTATACTAAGCAGTTTTCTAAGAATTTTCACATGCCTTTTTCTCACGCCTTTTTCTCACGAGGTTTTTACAGACTTAAATACTATTAAGAACAATGAACACGTAAATAATAAATGAGAACAGTAAACAAATGCAAATATAAAAAAAGAAAATTAAAATCCTATAAACAGCAATATAGTAGTGAAGTTTCTGAAAACAAACTGGTGGGATGAAGTCATGGCTTCATCATTAAAACCTGAGTGACACTGGGGAATTAATGGCTCTGTGCATTGGCTCCTTTATCTCTGAAAATACCAACTTTTTAAAGAACCATCTGCATACAATTTTAGTGAGGATTAAATGAGTAAGTGATAAGCAAAAGCTAGCTACTACCATTTCAGCTACTGTTATACCTGTTTTGTAAAGCCTGGCACATAGCAAAGGCCTACATGTTCACTGAATGACTAAACTGTGGCTTAGAGAGTCTACTTGAAGATCACAGGACCCTCACACAGAACTCTGAACCTGTCAGCACATGCCTTTCCACCGCCCTCCTGAAGAAACCCATACTTTCTAGGAGCCAGCATCCCTGTCATAGTGAATGTCATCATGGTCTACACTATCAGCTAAAAAGTAAAGGAATCATTCAAATGTACACTGAGACCTAATCATTTGCCCTCTAAATTGAAAGTTTTATTATTTTACTGAACCAATATAAATACGCAGTTGTTTAAACTTCAGGTTTGAAGTTTACATGAAGTTTAAACTTCATGTAGATATATTCTTAAAAAAGATGACAGCATAAGTTGAAAAATATAAGTCATTATTTACCATGTGTTGTATAGGTTTTAATCAGTTTTCCATCATTACAGAGCTACTAGTATCAAAGAAAAGCCTGCATTAATCAGAATTTAAATTACTGGGAAAGCAAGCAAAAATAAATAAATAAATAAATCCCGAAAGATTTATTCAGTGATTCAAGAACCATGTAAAATTCCTAACCCCTTTTTACTCAACTTTGGAATATATCATAAGCTTTGTTTCTTTATTTCTTAAAGCAGTAGCAAATTTCTTTCAAAAAAATTATAAATATTGAACTTGATTAGAAAAACATTCCAGCAGCAGAGAATACTGTCTCTTTAACCATAATACTAAAGGGCATTAGGTAGCCACAAAAACCTTTGTGTGATATCCATATGCCTGTCTATATCTTTTTATCTGCCTATGAGTACATTATAGAGACAATACTCCATGGTTGTGACATTAATTTTGGCATCTAAACTTCTATTAATGATAGTTTTAATTTAGTTAATATTCACTGATTACCTACTATGAGTTGCAGTTTGAGGGTTACTTTACAATAAAGCTGTGTTTATTGATTATAAAGTATTTGAACACATAGATATTCAGTGGATGTGTTGATATTTTGACTCATAACCAATGTTTAGGCATATCCCTAAAGAAGTTCTCTTTAGGAATCTATGGGATTTACCATCCATTAATTTACTTATATTTAAACATAAACAATATTTATCTCAATATCACCTCAACTTATCTTTTACATACATTTAGTTTATAACTAAATGGTAATAATAGTCAAGTTTTGTGGATATAATTTGTTTATAAATGGGTAATTGTACTTAATTCTGAATTTACAAACAGGTTTGTCTTTATCAATTCAGGCTGCCATAACAAATATCATGGGCTGGGTAGCATAAACAAAAGAAATTTTATTTCTCACAATTCTGGAGGCTTTGAAGTTCAAGATCAAGGTGTCTACACATTTGGTGACTGGTAAGGGCTTTCTTCTTGGCTTGCAGATGGCCGCCTTTCTGCTACCTCTTCATATGGCCTTTCCTTGCACTAAAGTTCCTCTTCGTGTAAGGATAACAATCCTTTTAGATTAGCACACCACCCTTATGACCAAATTTAATCTTAATCACTTTCTAAAGGTCTAGTCAAATATAATCAATTAGCGATTTGAGCTTCAATACATGAATTTTGAGGGCACACTAGTTCATAGTAAGATTAAATCCCAAAAGCTTGTTCATAAGTCAAATCACAAGCAAACTTTCTTAAGGCATGATGTTCCAAATGGGGTTCATGGCTAAATTTGCTATCAAAAGCTCCGCACATGTTTTTTCCATGTTACAGTTTCATAAGAACTTCAATGATAAAACAGGATGCATAGCTCATGAATTCTGCTATAATCTGTATCACTAGAAGAACGCCCATATCTACTGCCCACCATTCTCCATGGTAAAGAGTATTCTTCCTTTCTGTATCTCCCTCTTATTGGTTGGCAATATCTCCATCCAATTTACCTATATTAGTGATAGCATCAAGATGGCCACTTCCTTAACAGAGCTCTAATTTCAACTGCTGCAGAACATCTTGACAGCAGGAAAAAACTCTGGATGAGAGAAAATAGTTGAGTTCATCAACTGATAGTGGTTATTTGCATAGAATAAGATATTTGGGAGTTAGAGGGGGGAAAAAGAGAAAGAAGAATTTGCTTGGAATGCATGAAGATATGCAGGATTAAGGGGCTGAAATGGCAATGCAATAATAATGAAAGTAGAGACAAGAAGGGCTTGGAACTATAGGAAGACAGATACTCTAACATCTGGAAGTTGAAGGACAGTGGCATAGAGTTGGCTCTGGATATGGAAAAATAATGCAAGACATAATAGATGAGGCTAGAAAAGAAAGGACAGTGGAGCGGGGAGACACCTTGAGCACAATTGCGTACTACTAAAGTCAAGCTAAAGTTGACAAGACATGCAAGGCAAATTCTTAAAAATAAAACTATTATATTCTGAAAAATATACTTTATCATTTTTCTTTCCATGCACATAAATTCTCCTTTGTCTTTCAAACAATTTATTCCTTTTTCTAAGTGAGACAAGGAGAGAAAGACTCTGTGTGTATGTGCACGTGCGTGTGTGCATGCACGCACACATGCATTAAGGGGTAATAGTACATGAACTGAAAGGAAGATTAGAATGGATATAGAAGAAATGGAAATAAAATGATGTTCAAAATAGGATTTTGCTTCAATATACATAAAAGTACAGATTTTGTGGTGAAAGATGATATTTTCCCAAATTCCTTTACATATCAAGAACTAAACCTGGGTGTCTCAGATCATAGTCCTGTGTGAGTGAAGCATCAAGAGAATATGATTATTTCTTCTCTGAATGATTCAGAGTAGAAACCTCTTCTACCTGTGACAACCAGGCACGCTTGATTAGGGTACATACAGACTACATTGAGCAGAAGAAAAACCTAAAAACCCTCTCTTCCGGTCCTGAGAGACTGGAGAAAGCTGGACTCAAGAGATGCGGCAGAGAAAAGGAACACAGAAAGCAACATGTTAGCAAATGAGAGAGAAAAATGTTTCCGGTAAGTTGACAAAATGGTAGGTGAGTCATCACTTTGGTTGATATTTGGTCTTTTTGTTTTTCACAAAGAGTCTTGCTCTGTTATTCAGGCTGAAGTGCAGTGGCATGATCTTGGCTCACTGTAACCTCTGCTTCTCGGGTTCAAGCCGTTCTCCCACTTTAGCCTCCCAAGTATCTGGGATTGTAGGTACCCACCACCATATCCAGCTAATTTTTGTAGTTTTAGCAGAGATGAGGTTTCACCATGTTGGCGAGGCTAGTCTTAAACTCCTGGTCTTAGGTGATCCATCTGCCTCAGCTTCCCAAAAGTGCTGGGATTACAGGTGTGAACCACCATGACTGGCCAATATTTGGGACTTTTTGAAATCATGTCAACACTAAACTGGAGACCACATAATAAAGTCTGCAGAGTGGTGTGAAAAACTAATGGAAGATTAGACTACAGCATTCCTGAGATGCTGTTGGTTCCCTTGTAGT